AGAGGGAGAGAGAGAAGGAGAGGAAGAGGGAGAGAGAGAAGGAGAGGAAGAGGGAGAGAGAGAAGGAGAGAAGGAGAGAAGGAGAAGGAGAGGGAGAGGGAGAGAGAGGGAAAGAGACAGAGGATCCAAAGCAGGCTCTGTGCTGATGGCAGAGAGCCTGACGCAGGACTCCTACCCACAAACTGTGAGATCACGACCTGAGCCAAAGTCAGATGCTCAACGGACCGAGCCACTCAGGAACCCTGAAGTAACAGCTTTTTAAAAACTTTTAATTATCAATTTAGTTAAATCATTGTTGAATATCAAAATAATCATCTATTTTTTAAATTTAAATGGTTGATTTGTTCGACATATCTTTGCATTGGTAGCAGTTCTTAGAACTTTCTTACCACAGTGACCCTAATAGCAGAGGAAACAAATACATGCCACAGAAGCCAAAACTCATGGGAGATTTTGTTCAAGTCTTGGATTTTACCTTAGAAATTCAAGTATACTTTGCATTCTATTCCATCTAACAGTCTTGGTTTTAATTTTTCCCCCTTTAGATTATAAACATTAACCATCCAGAAAAATATCTCAGGTTTATCTTGTAGCATCTCAGACAGCACGCCCCAGCATACTCCTGGTGGTATGAGAATCTATGCTTTTGAGAAGAATGGTAATGTAGTCGTTAATACAGTACTATGAAATGGTAAACTGTAGATAACAAAGCTTTAAATTTATATCCTGCATTTCAATAACTGACAGATTTTTCAAAAGTTAGGTCATTTGTGTTCGAATCCTATAAATGTGAAAAATCAGTATTTCCTCTACTATGGAAAGGGGAGTATACAGAATTAACATAAATGTTAGTATACTTTTAATTTTAGAATTCTGAAACTAATCTAATTTTATTTGTAAAATTAATCTGTTTTTAAGTTCAGTCTTTCTACTCTATTCTAATCTCAGATAACAAGTACTAAAAGAAATATTTCATTTTTGTTTTCAGAAATTGTAAAATATGGAAGTCATGGTATAAAGTTGAAAATTACCTTGTTTATCTATAACTGAATATGAGGCCAAAAATCCTCGTCCAGAAACATGGATTCCACTCATGAACAGCACTGTAATTTCATTGCTTTTTGACTCAATTGAATGGTTCATCTGCAACCCGAGACCACAGTATTTGCCTAGGAATAAGGAAAAAAAGAGATTTGGTATGACTCTTATATACATAAAAGTCGATAATATTTACAACATAGGTAAGAACATCAATATAATATACCAAACCGGACATTAAATAGAAAATGACTAGGATGTTTAGTGATTTAAAATCACATCACTCTGAAGAAAGAAAAAATGAAAATATGTCAAGTAATAACTAAATAATTCAAAAGAAAAAAATGGTACAGGCATCAGTGATCTTACAAAGATTCAATTTCTTGTGAAAGACATTACTCTTTAAAATAGTAGTGAAGAGGGGCACCAGGGTAGCTCAGTTGGGTAAGCGCCCAACTTCTGACTTCAGTTCAGGTCATGATTTCATGGTCCCTGAGTTCGAGCCCCACATAGGGCTGTGTGCTGACAGCTCAGAGCCTGGAGCCTGCTTCGGATTCTGTGTCTCCTTCTCTGTCTGCCCCTCCCCAACTCACACTGTCTCTCTCTCTCAAAATAATAAAAATAATCATAAAAAAAATAGTAGTGAGGAATTAAAATTAACTTAAAGCACTTCATGCAGGCAGGTGGCTCATAAACACATTAACAGTCAATCAGTAATATTCTTTTTTTTTTTTAATTTTTTTTCTTAATGTTTTTATTTATTTTTGAGACAGAGAGAGACAGAGCATGAGCAGGGAAGGGGCAGAGAGAGAGGGAGACACAGAATCGGAAGCAGGCTCCAAGCTCTGAGCCATCAGCACAGAGCCCATGCGGGGCTCGAACTCACAGACTGTGAGATCATGACCTGAGCCGAAGTCGGACGCTCAACCGACTGAGCCACCCAGGCGCCCCAATCAGTAATATTCTTAACATACTCCCCAGAGTGCCCCTAGATTCCTGGGCTTAGGGCACCCTTAAACTTTTTCAGACTCCCTAAATTTCTCTTCCAAGATTACTGAAGTTCTAGTCAATCCCTTGAGGTGATCATGCCCAGTCCTACAGCTTTAACTATGCTCTGATAATTCACATTTACACCTCTTCCCAGAGCTTTTCCCTTGAACTTCAAGTATTTATATCTAAATGCCAACTTTTAGGGGTGCCTGGGTGGCTCAGACAGTTATATGTCTGACTTCATCTCAGGTAGTGATGTTGTTTCTTTCTCATGAAAATAAAAACATTAAAAAAAATTAAATGCCAACTTTTATCCTTTAATACCTAATAGACACATGAAAAGAACATACCCTCAGTACAGATTAATAAAAGTTTAAGAAAAAAAATTAGAGCAAGATATACACCAACAACTAATAAAAATGCATTTTCTTATGTGCTTGCTAACCTAAAAGATTCTGAATAAAGAATAACATTCCAAAATATCTGGGGCTGTGGCAACATCATTCTAGAACGAGAGTAATGTGTGCTTCCACAAACACCATTTTCAAGGACTACACATGATTTTGTGAGTAACATATTCCAAGGAATCAACAAGAAAAGCCCACCAGAACTTGTAAGAAAGTTTAACAATATCACAGGATACAAAAATCAATTATATTTCCACATACTGGTCACAAATAATCTGAAATGAAATTTTAAAAACTTTGTAATAGCATCTAAAGATTAAAATACTTAAGGATCATTTTTTTTGTTAAAAATTCAAAATCAATACACTAAAAAATAGAAAACACTGATAAAATTTAAAGGAAAGCTAAACGAACTGGGAGACAGACCAAGTTCATGGACTGGAAGACTCAATGTTGTTAAGGTGTCAGTTCTCCCAACACTGATCTACTGAGTCAATCAATCTCTACCAAAACTAGAGTTTTCCTTTTCCTTTTTTTTTTTTTTTTTTGATGTGTTTTATTAAGCAAAGATTTTTTTAAATTTTATTATTTTTTAATTTACATCCAAATTGGTTAGCATATAGTGCAACAATGATTTCAGGAGTAGATTCCTTAGTGCTTACCCATTTGGCCCATTCCCCCCACACACAACCCCTCCTGTAACCCTCTGTTTGTTCTTCATATTTATGAGTCTCTTCTGTTTTGTCCCCCTCCTTGTTTTTATATTATTTTTGTTTCCCTTCCCTTATGTTCATATGTTTTGTCTCTTAAAGTCCTCATATGAGTGAAGTCATATGATACTTGTCTTTCTCTGACTTTCGTTTAGCATAATACCCTCCAGTTCCATCCACATAGTTGCAAATGGCAAGATTTCATTCTTTTTGATTGCCTATTAATACTCCATTGTATATATATACCACATCTTCTTTATCCATTCATCCATCGATGGACTCTTTGGGCTCTTTCCATACTTTGGCTATTGTTGATACTGCTGCTATAAATATGGGGGTGCCTATGTCCCTTCAAAACAGCACACCTGTATCCCGTGGATAAATGCTTAGTAGTGCAATTGCTGGGTCGTTCTATTTTTAGTTTTTTAAGGAACCTCCATACTGTTTTCCAGAGTGGCTGAACCAGCCTGCATTCCCATAGAATTTTCCTTTTTCAAAAATTAATAAGGCTAAAATGCATATGGAAATGCAAAGGACATAGACCAGGCAGAACGTAGTGAAAAAGTTGGAAGACTAATATAACCCGATTTTAAACTTATATAATACTACAGTAAACTATAATACTGTAGTAATCGAGACAGTGTGATACACTGTAATAGCAAATCTCTTTCTATATCTAAATCTTTATTTGTATCTATATCTACACCTATATGTATATCTCTATGTATTTCAATGGAACAGAAAAGAGTTCAGAAATAAGCCCACATATGTGGTCAACTGGTTCCTGACAAAGGTGTGAAGGTAACTCAGTAGATAAAGGACAATGCTTTCAACAAGTGTATTAAACCAGGTGGATATCAAAATGCAAAAACAAATGAACTTAGAACTTCACTTCAAGTCAAAATGGATCACAGACCTAATTCTAAGAGCTGTACTTATAAAACTTACAAGAAAACACAAGAGAAATCTTTGTGACTTCGGGTTAGGCCAAGATTTCTTAGATCCAACCCCAAAAGGGAAATCCATTAAAGGAAAAAATGAGTAATTTGCACTTCATCAAAATTTAAAATGTTTCCTTTTGAAAAGATACCATTAAGAAAATTTAAAGGCAAAATACATACTGGGAGAAAATGTTTACAGAACATTAATCTGATCAAGAACTATTATCTGAAATGTGTAAACAATTCTTACAACTCAATTTAATCTTGTAAAATGGGCAAAAGATTTATAAAGCCAATCTATAAAGACGACCTACTACATGGCAAATAGGCACATAAGATGGTCAAGAGAGCTAGTCATCAGAGAAATGAATATTAAAGCTACAGTGACAGACCACGGCACCCCATTGGAATAAAAGACTGACTAATAATAATCAAAAAGACTGACAATACCAAACATCGGTGAGGATGTGGAGAAACTGGAACCTTCAAACGCTGATGGCAGAACTGTAAAATGGCAGAGCCATTTTTGGACAACAATTTGGCAGTTTCTGAAGATGTTAAATAAGCATATGTACATATATAATCCAGCAAGTACACTTCTATTATCCACCCAAGAGGAAAGCAACCATATGTCCACAGAAAGACTATGCAAATAGTCACAGCAGTATTTCTCATATTTGCCCCAAATAACTTAATTGTCCATCAACTAATAAATGGATTAAAAATGTGGTATATATCCATACAAAGAACTACAACTCACCAAGATAGGAACAAACTAATGATGCACACAAAAACATTAATGACCCTCAAAACCATTATGCTATACAAAAGCTATTTATATTTCTAGAAAAGACAAAAAAAAATTAGAGGTAGCAGATCAGTGGCTACCTGGGACTGGGAGTAACGTAGAAATGGACTACAAATGGGCACAAGGGAACATTTTGGTGTGACAGAAATTTCTAAATCTAGACTTCAGTGATGTTGCACAGCTATATAAATTTACTAAAACTCATCAAACCATGCATTTAAAATAGGTGAATTTTATGGTATGTAAATTATAGCTCAGTAATGAAGTTTTTCAGAAGAAATACACACAATGAAACAATTTGTATTGTCAGAAACCATCAGGTGTTTCATACAAAAAAAAAAAAAAAAGTACACAAAATCAGACACAGCAGAAAGAGGCTTTCAAAGATTTATTCCAAGCGGCCATATAGCAGCTGAAAAAACTTGAACTCTAATACATCAGTGGATTGCTCAAAATAACACTACTCGTCCGTCAGAGGTGAAATCAGTCCGGAGCCTGGGTCCTCCGCCTTGTCCCGTACCTTATTCTTCTGCACACTACTCTCCACTACTGGTGCTGACACCTTCCCAGGGGCTGCAGAGAGGAACATTTAATACAGCACAATCTTCTCTCCTGTGAGGGATCTGGGGCAGTCGCTGTTCTCTCCTTCCCACCCACAGCAGTAACACCCTTTTGCTTTTTCCTTCCGCATCCCAGCAACAGCCTCACTCCTTAACTAAGTTAGTAAATGCTTCAGCTTGTCTTCTGACGTAAGCCACCTAAATATCTCGCAATACTGCTTTCACCCTTAACTGAATTATGTAAATCTATACCACCTTCATTTTGAGATTAACTGCAGAGGCACAGCCTACTCCTTCCACTTCACTCTAAAGCCATTTTTAACTTTCCAAAAGATCACATACAAGTAGAATTGTGAAATTCAGCCGTATTTTTTAAAACGAGTTCTTCTTTACCACTGTTTTTCCCTGTCAATGAAAAAGTACTACACTTGTACTACAAAAGTACTACATTTCTTTTTTTTTTTTCAGAAAATGAGAACAATTTAACCCTAAAGCCAGACTGACAGTTGTCAGTTAAAACGAAAACCCCAAATTCTAAAACATCTAACACTGTCTACAGCTTTTATACATAGAACTTTTCTTTCAAGACATAATTCTCCAAAGCTTTACAACTTCTGAATTATTTTTATAAAATAAGCTTATACATGTGATAATTCTGTAAAAACTTTTAGGATGAACGGAGTAGTTGTACCTAAGAATAATTTCAGGCCCACAT